GCAGTGTTTGGATAGGATCGCGCATTGCCGCGAAGCTATATGGAGATATGATCTTGCGGGTTAGATTCGTGTGTTCTATCCTATGATGTGAGACGGGTTCTCAGCCTTGTGTTGTGATGGTACCGGCGAGCTTGAGGTACAGCTCTTTCAATTGAGTCATTTTCATGATTTGAGTATGTTCGGACTGTTGCTTATTGGTGCGCGTAGTTATGCGAGTTGTGGCTTAGGCCGTATTGATGTGTCATGTCACCAGGGTGGTGTGTTTGGTCAGAAGAGATCGTTGGGATCATTAATGAATACAAACGGATTCGATTTCAGCATGTTTGATGGGTAAATATCGAGGTTCGGTTCAAAATTTGCTATGGTAATTGCCAGAGGAGAAATGGCCTCATGAATGGTTGATCTGAGGAATGGATATGGTTTATTGCGTGTTTCATTTATCGTTGGCAGTATATGGAAGAGTTGGAATGAGACTTTAGCTAATAAGAGGTTTTCTATCGGTATTTGGTTGTTGTAGGCAGCTGCTCTAAATGGAAGTTATCGCTGCATGTGTTTGAGTTATGTGGTATATCATATAATTGCACCTGAGGTTGCAGCCATGGGCTATTACAGCTGGTTCGGGACTATTCAGAGTATAGGTGTGAGGTTCTGATCGTATTGATGGTTTCAGAAGTGAAAGCGTGGTTCTAGGGTTTATGGATTAGGATGGATTGTGTAATTTCAGTTTCTATGTGTTATCAAACCTATATGAGATAGGGTGACGTGGGAACACCCCCGGATTTATGCATGGTAAGGTTATTCAGCAATTGGTTGGCTTTTAGAACAACTCTGGGTACGTTCGAGGACGAACGTGTGTTTAAGTGGGGGAGGATGTAACGACCCGACCGGTCGTTTTGAGCTTTTGCGCTTTGATCGCCAGTTCTCGGGCATGACTTGCCCCGTGTAATGTAATATGACTGATGTAGATCGTTGGTTTTGGTTTTCAGGAAAATTTGGAATGAATTTGAAAGAACAGTCTCAGTAGAAAGCTTTGAATTTGAAAGGTTTGACCAAGAGTTGACTTGTTTGTATATGAGCTCGGATCGGAATTTTTATGATTTGGTTAGCTTCGTTGGGTGATTTATGACTTAGGAGCGCGATCGGAATGAATTTTAGAAGTCCGTAAAAGGATTTGGCTTGAATTGGCAAAGTTAGTATTTTGGCAAATTCCGGTTGATAGGTGAGATTTTGATCCGAGGGTCGGAATGGAATTTCGAGAGTTGCTGTAGTTTCGTTATGTCATTTGTGATGTGTGTGAAAAATTTCAGGTCATTCGGGGGTGATTTGGTAGGGTTTTTGATCAAATGCGTGTTTCGGAAGTTTTAGAAGAACTTAGGCTTGAATTCGATGTAATTTGATGGTTTTGGTGTTGTTCGAGGTGTTTTGATGATTGGAGCCAGTTTGAATAATGTTTTAGGATGCATTGGCGCTTTTGGTTGAGGTCCCGGGGGCCTCGGGGTGATTTCGGATGGCTAACCGGGAGTTTTGGACTTGGAGAAAATGCAGAAAAGGCAGCAGTTATTGCAGAGTATTTTTGGTCTTCGCGATCGCGGGAGGACCCTCGCGATCGCATAGAAGGAATTCGGGGCAGCATGATTTTTGGTCTACGCGATCGCGTATAGGCGATTGCGATCGCATAGGCTTATGAGGTGTGCCTTCGTGATCGCGTGGATGTGTTTGCGATCGCAGAGTGTTGGAGGAGGCAATATTGCGTTCGCAGGGGTTCTATTGCGATCTCATAGTGCATTTTGAGGGCTGGAAAAATTTGTTCATCGCGATCGTGAGCCTTTGGCCACGATCGCATAGAAGGAATCGTCAGCTGGGCAGAAGGGTTTTCAAACATATTTCATCCGTGGGCCTAAGTCATTTTCCTCCATTGAAGGGACTCGAAGAGGATTGATTGGAGGTAAGTTCAAACGTGATTACATTGTGGAATTAACTTAGAAATTCATGGGAATTTAACCAAAAATGGAAGAACTAGGGCTTGAGATTTTGGAATTTTAATTTGGGATTTGAGGGGTCATTTGGACTCGGATCTTGGTGTTCTTTATATGCATAGACTCGTGGCGAGATAAGGAATCTAATGATGTAAAAATTTCTGAGTTTCGAGAAGTGGGCCCGGGGCTCGGGTTTTGGTAATTTCGGGATTTGTGCCCGTTATTGATTGATTTCGCTTGGGTTTTGTTCCCTTAGCATATTGTGACGTATTCGTTCTGATTTTGGATAGATTCGACACGCGTGGAGGCCGATTTGAGGGGCAAAGGCGTCGCGAGTTAGAGATTTCGCCGAGGTGAGTAATGATTGTAAATGATATCCTGAGGGTTTGAAACCCCGGATTGCACATCGTAGTGCTATATTGAGGTGACTTGCACGCCGGATAGCGAGCGTGGGGTAGAGCACCGTTGGGGATTGTAACTTGGTCCGTCCCGATTGATGATTTTACTGTGTAATTGACTGAAACTTATTTGTTATCATCATGAGTTGGGCTGATTGCCATATTTGGGCTTCGTGCCAGCTATTTGAACCCCTTCGGGGATGGTCGTTGATATTTCCTCACTGTTTAGATTTTATACTTGAACTCAGTCATGTATTTTTTTCACTGTTTTCGAAACTCAGCCAAGTTTACTTGCTTTAACACTTGAAATGATATTTCCAATAATATTTTGGGTTGAGCATCATGTTTATTGTTGCCCGAGTGGCTTATGTGATTTTGTTGACTGAGTTAGGCCGAGGGCCTGTATTGTGAGGATACTTTTGGATCGGGCTGCACGCCTATATATATATATATACGGATCGGGCTGCACGCCGCAGTAGTGTTATATTGATACTGGTATGAGGCCAAGGGCCTAGATTTGATGCCACGAGATGGCTTGATATTGCGCTTGGGCCGTAAGGGGCCCCTCCCGGAGTCTGCACACCCCCAGTGAGCATCGTCGACGATAAATGAATCGGGTTGCACGCTACAGCAATATGTGGATCGGGCTGCACGCCGCAGCGGTACTAGTACTGTTTTATGTGTTTACTTTATTTCATTTGTCTGCCATTATTTGTTGTCTGTGTTACTTCACGGTGTAACTACCTGATTGCCTGGCATTATCTGTTGAGTGAGTGTTGTGCCCGAGGGGTGGATTTCTGTGCTTATCTGCACTAATTATTTGCATTTATTCGCATAACCGTTGAAAAAGTTATTTTCAAAAGAGGTTTGAACTGAGCTAAGATGTTTTTTAAAGATTTCACAGCTTCACTGCTTTTTCTCAAGGGGTTTTATACTGCTTCCATACAGCATGATGATTTGCCTTACGTGATTTCTTACTGCTCAGCTATTATTTTCCTTTATTACTCACTGAGTTGGAGTACTCACTTTACTCCCTGCACCTCGTGTGCAGATGCAGGTATTTATCCACCCGTTAGCGGGTTTTGGCTGATCAGAGGCAGAGTTATAGGAGTTAGCGAGGTGACTGCCAGCGTCCGCAGCACCGTTTTCCTCTCTTTTGTTCATTATTCCGATTTTGTATATTTTAGACCTTGTAGTTGGTTTTACACTCTAATAGATGCTCGTGACTTGTGACACCCCAATTAGGGCTGTGTTGGGTTGTATTACCGCTAATTAATATCATGAAATCATATTTAAACTGTTTATGAACTGTTTAACTGCTTAAAAGAGGTGTTCTGGAATGGGCTGGCTGGCCTTGTCTTCACGAGAGGCGCCATCACGACCGGGGCAGAGTTTGGGTCGTGACAAATCATTATTTCAATTATATTTTACAATGTTGCTTGTTGTAATTAGGGGCAAATCTACTTTTGTCGTCATAAAAAATGAGTTAGATTTGCCTTTGCTGAATAACACTAGAAGCTTTCCAATACGTGACCCTTTTGTACAAAGGGAAAGGATTAAATTTGTCGTTGAACAATACGAAATAATCCAAATTTTCTCCTGAAATTTGACTTGCCCGAGATGTCTCTAGTAATATAATATCCCAATTAGAAGGCAATTAGATTTTATCCTTTTGGAAAGTTGATCCGTCTATTACTTGAAATTTATTTTTTAGGAAGAAAATCCATTTTACGGAGAAAAGGAGAAAAAAAACATGTATGTATCCAGTAGGATGTCATGAGATTCATGACATCTATATAGCATACAACTTAAATTTGATCAAGAAGAATGTAAAAAATGAAAAGGTAAATTAAGAAAATATTGTATAAAATACAATGTAGAACTGAAAAAGGTACAACTTAAGGTACCAAATATAAGCCAACTCAACTGCAAGGATAAGTTTAATATTTTGCCATTGAAGACAAATCCAAGAACCAATGGCCATCAATTCTTGCAAGGCTTACAGATACCACTTAAACTTGTTGTATAAAGAGAAGAAACTCTACAAGCTATTATTTTCCCACAAGATAAGCTATGTGATACTATCTCACATTTTGGGTTTTTCCCATAAGATGGAGCAACATGAATAACGAGGATTCATATAGCTGACCCCAAATTGCTTGGGATTGAGGCGCAATAGTTGTTTTTGACTGTTGTTCCTGTTGTTGTATAAGCTCCGCGATACCATTTCATTTTCGGGATTTCAAACCTTCATTCTAACCAAACAAAACCACTTCAATCATGGTCTGTTGGCATGGGGTCATTACTGTTGCAAAGCATTAATCCCCACAACAGAGAAGATTTTAACAGCATTGACATTCCCAATAGGCTTCTCAAGTATACAGTTTTAGAAGTATTTTCGAGTTCATGTTTTAAATGAGAATCCCCTATAGGATGCCAAACCTTGACCTTAGTTGCTTGAACTTATGAAATGAACTTGATGTACAACAAATGCTTCAACTCCATTCACTTCATATGACATGTTCCAAAGCATTGGAACATCTCCAGCAAGTTTTTATCAACCTACTAAGACAGTTTCTCACACAGAAATACTAACCAATAGAAAACCAAAACAAAAGAAATAGAAAACAGAAAGGGCCAAAATAGTTCTGTATACGACAAACTAAATGGACTGTGGACTCTTAACAAAATTGACCTGTTACTGTATTCCAACAGGATGATTAGCAACACGTTTATCAGTATTTAAGGCAATGAATGTGTGAAAAGTAGACATTCCGAGGGGAAAAAAGATGAATAAAGAAAGAGGTCCAAATACTTTTTTTGGCTCAAACAAGTTAACGAAACTCTTAAACTCTACAATGAGCTCAGAATTGGAATCCACACTCACATGGATAAGAAACATGGTTTGCAATATTCGAGATATAAAATGTTTTGCATCTGTCACCAACCAAGAAGTAGAAGCTTCAAAAGTGCCATCCGAATATAAAGACCATTCTTAGCTTGTCTGAAATAAGCAGCCCTTGGATCTTCATCCACATCAACAGTTATCTACAAGGATTAAACATGGAAATTAAATAGCATAATTGTGACATAAAAATAGAAGGAATCACATGCCAAACTATATAACGGAATTTAACCTCATCAAGTCTTGGCAAAGGATGCATCACTACTGCATGTTTCTGCATAGCATTTAAGACAGCCAGATCCACGATATACTTCCCTCGAGCTTCTTCATACAAATCAACCCTCTCTCCAAATCTTTCTCTTTGAATACGAGTTTGATATACCACATCACATTTAGAAGCCACATCCACCAGATCAGCACTTTCTTCCCACTGAACCCCCATTGACGTCAAATAATCCTTTATATCATCCTAAAATGACAATTAAGAACAAGAGAGACATCTTTTATTTAATCTGCAACAATTCCTCAAACTAAAACAAAACATTATGTAATACATTTGAGGTTAAAGAACAAAAGTTCATTTAACTGAATCAGAAGTAACGCTAATTACCAGCTCAAGATAATCAAAGTTTTATCTTTTCTCAGTCATACCTTCATTTTAACTACATCAGGGGACACAAAGTAAATTTTCACATCTTGGTACTTCGCAAGCAAATAAGCAAGTGAACGAACTGTCCTCCCATAAGCTAGATCACCAACAAGAGCAACTTTAATACCATCAAGTTTTCCTATTTCTCTTTCAATGGTATACACGTCTAAAAGGGCCTGTTTCAGATAAAATCAGGATAAATTACTGTACCAGTTCAAGAAGAAAAAATAGTCTAGAAGAATAATATGATAAAGAAAATCTTCCACTACAAACAAATGCATGCGCACGTGGCATGTCTTCTGTACTCTATTATGTTGTTTCCACCAGTTAGTTCCCTATATGCTATTCAGAGTTTGTTATAAATTATAAGTTATAACGGCAGAAGAACAGCCTAAAACACATGACAGGCACATCTACGTAGTTAAGAGCCCAAGTTTTTAGTTATCTCCAGAAACTTAGCTGGAATGCACAATCCAAACAAGTTCTTGTTTCCTAATCTAGATCTGTCAAAGGGGAAAGGATAGAATAACACCCCCGCACAACAGCTTATGGCTAGTTACCTAACAGTAGGAAAACTTAACACTCCCATAGAGATTCTAACAAATAACTAGTACAAACATAGAAGGAAAAAGAGAATGGCAGAAGAAAGAGAAGCAAAAAGTAGAAAGGAAAAGGAAAAAAAAAAAGAAGAAGAAGAAAAGGTATAACGAAAAGATAAAAAGAGAAGAAAAAGTAGAAAGTAACTCTCTGCGCTTGTATGTACAGGGAGGACATAAGAAGTATTAAGCTTAAACAACAACAAATCGAAATTTTTCTGCAAGTTTGAAAAACAAAATCATGGATAAATGCCACCTAAGATTATTGAGTTTGCAACTTAAATGCAGTTTCAAGAGATGCAAAGAAAATGATTGATTGAGTTGTAAGTTGTAGCAATGCTTATCCACCAAAAGAAAGCTAGATTAGGAATAACTGCAGTTAAATATATTTTAACTAGACAGCTTTAAGTAATTCTAGCCTCAAAGTCTCTGGCCTACCACGAAAGCATCTACAATAGGAGCAAACCTGAGTTGGGTGTTGTCCAGGGCCATCTCCAGCATTTATAATTGGAATACTGGCAGTGGCCGCAGCTCTTTTAGCAGCACCACTTTCAAAATGTCTCATAACAATGATGTCAGAGTACCCTTCAACAGTTCTAATTGAATCTGCAATTCAAAATTCAATTGTAATAACCCAACATCCTATTGAAAGTTGAAAATTACTTCAAGGAAACTGATGAAGAGATACCTTCAAGCGTCTCTCCTTTTGCTGCAGATGAAAATTCGCGAGCATTTTCCGTAGTCAATACTTCCCCACCCAAACGCTTCATGGCAGATTCAAATGAAAGCCTAGTCCTAGTTGAGGGTTCATAGAAGAGAGTGGCCATTAGATAACCCTTAAGAATCTCGCTTCCCATCGAGTTCTTCTCAATTTTCTCCATCTCCTGCGCCACTTCAAATATGGCACTGAGAGTATCTCTATCAAACTGCTGAGCTTCAATTACATCATCAAGCTGAAACTTACTCCCTACCATAGTTAAAGACTTATTTTTCACCTCCAATGCTCTGCATTGGAATCCTCCCCTATTTGTTGGCATAGCGCATTGATTTCCGCCCTTTTTAAACAATTCAACAGCGAATGGCAACTGTGATTTTGACATGTCGGCAAGTAAAGAAGTAGGTTTACAGCGCAAAGGTTGCTTTAACCATAAATTATTGCCTCCAAAGTTAGAATAACTCATTCTCGGAGGTGACACAAGTATTTTCCCATGGAATACATGTGAAGAAAATGTTGAGGAAATAGCCATCAACAATAATCAGGATCACTCACCTGCAACAAAAAAAGGGTTAATTTAGAAGCTACACCAGTTAAATATTACACCACATCAAGTTTGCATAACAAAGCTAGAGTATGCAGAGTCAGGAAACAAAGAAGTAAACAACCAATTAAAGAAACATTAAAGTAAGCTTAGAACAGCAAATAAAACACATAAGTTATAAATATCAACCGAATGAAAAGGCATGAAGCTGCTATAACCATCTCAAATCTACTCTAGGATAAAAATCACACTTTTTTTATGAGTATGGTATCCGGGCCAGCTTGCGCTCACCTGGACTATTCCACCAAGCAGAGGTGGAAGCAGCGGGACACCACTATCTATATCTTAGACAAGTCAATTACCAGGGGTGGATCCAGTGCTTCGCCATCAATGCTAAATATAGTTTTTTGTGTGAAAACCGACCAAAATTTCAACAAATATTAGATCTAAACCTATAATTTTAAGAATAGGTTAGTTAAATGCTAAGAACCTTAAATGTCGAACCTATCAAAGTTAAAATCATAGATCTACCTTTGGAAATTACTAGCTAAAATGTTTGGCATGCAACTCTCCGAAAACTTAAAGATTATGATAACTAATGAGAAAAGTACAAACTTCACGTCTATCGAATATCATTAATTTAGTACATATATAACAAAAATACAGCATTTGTTCATACTTGACCTCGACAAGCTTTCATATTCTAAAACTGGTCAATGACAGTCCACATGAAGATGCTTCCGTATTTGTTCTAGGGTTGAGTACTAATCGGATGTAATTATTAATTAAATTAGTCCCATAAAACTGACAATGACAGTCCACACAAAGACGCTTCACTATTTGTTTAATACAATTTTACAAATAAATAATTCGTTATTGTGGTAATATTTATTATTCAACTCAATTAAATATTAATCCTAGTTCCTACTAATTTGTGAAAAACAGAAATCATAAAAGAATGAAAGTCAAAATATGCTTGAATAAGTAGAATCCATATTAGTCATTAGAAAGAGGTGAAGAAGACCTTCACAGAGTTAAAGAGATAGGTCTACAAAGTGCCGCTGCCGAGGGGTGAGGGAGGCCGGGTCTCGTCAGATGCTGACTGCTTTCTGTAGTTGAGTATGACTGAGATAAGAGTGGATTATGAACTATGACCTAGGTAAGGGTTTCTGTTGATTACAAGAAAAGGGGAAAAAGAAGCTGGACTATACTAACTTGTTGACTGCAAAAATAAATTTTTTTTTAAAAAGGAAATTAGTTTTTTAAAACAGCCTCTTGTAGAAATGCAGTTTAAGGCTGCGTTCAATAGACCCTTGTGGTCCGGCCCTTCCCCGGACCCTGCTCATAGGGGAGCTTAGTGCACCAGGCTGCCCTTTTAAAAGGAAATTAGTTGCTGGAGTTAGATTTTGTTAACAGTCATAAGTCAAAAAGAATTTAGCTGCTGGACTTGGGATTCAAACTCCGGTTATCAGAAACCCTAGAACACTTGAGCAAGCAGGCTACTCTGCATTTGTTGACGGGGTCTTCGTTAAATATATAACTAAGTTCTATGATAAATACACATATAGATACAGAATTTTTGCCGAGGTTTACAGGTGGCAGTGAACCCTTTATGTTTAACATAGTTCCACCTTTGCCAACAGATACCTGCTACTTCCTGCCAACACAGGCACGGGTAACTCTACCGACCAAGGGTTAAGAAAATAAAAATAAATATTAAAAAAAAAGAGCTCTTTTATAGCATCAATATATCAGCTACTGCAAATTTGCTATAAACACATATAACAAAAAAATAAATACGACACAACAACATTAATCAGCAAAAATGACAAAAATTGGCAAGCTTCAAACTAACAACATATACCAAAAAAACAGTTCTAGTTGCCACAGAGTTCTGTGTAGAGAGCAAGAGAAGGTTGGGGAATTTGGGTGGGGGGAGACACAGAGGAGAACTTACGAAATTGATTTCGCCGGGCCGGCAAAAGAGATAGTGAGTTCGGCGTCAGCTTTAGAGTGACAGAGTGAGGGTGAAGAAAAAAGCTCCTGCAATATTTTTGAAAATATAAAAAAGAAAATCAAGGAAATCTTATAGAAAGAATTATAAGAAAATAAACGTAACTTCACACCGTAACAAAAAATGGCCCATGTTTTTAAGTTTTACCCCACCTAGCCCACATTGTACATATTTTGAAAGCACTTGCAAATTCAAAATATATGTTTTTACAACAATTGCTTCTAAAAGCTATGGAGTTAATTCTTTGTTCTCACAACTATTACTTTCACTCTCTCTTCTTCTCGCATCTTTTACATATGCTTCAAAGGACCGTGTATTTTCTGCTTCTCCTCTTGTGTCACCTGCTTGCAATGAAAGAAAATTGAAGAGTAAAGTCCACCATTGAAGATCATTCAAAGCTTTGCTTTTGAAAATGGATTGTTTTAAATTTGTTAGTTGTTTGGATTGGGTATTGTTCCAATTGATTGAAAATATCAAAAGGAGTACAAAATTTAAATTTGAAGTGATTTGGAGTACATTTGAGCAAGATTTGAATTAAATTTCAGAAAAGACGCAAGAAAGAAGACGAAGTCAGTTTTTTGTATAATTATGTATAATCTTGTATAATATTGTATATGAGTGTCGAAACACACCTTATACACTGTTATACACTTTTATACACCTTTATACAAGCGTCTGTAGACGAACTTCTTCCACGATTTTCAGTTGCAATTCTTATTCAAAACCAGTCCAAATCTCCATTAAATGACTTCAAATTTTATATACAACCTCCTTATACTATTTCTAACAAGTCTAAATAACACCCACTCCAAATTTCTCATAAAATCAAATTCGAAATTTAAACTCACATATTTAAGCTTGTTAAAAATCTAATTTTCACCACCCAAATGAAGTTGGTTTGTTAAATTAATATTTGAGTCACAATCACTGATTCGAAAAGTAATTTAAAAGCTTGAGGAATCTTTTTTAAAAATTAAATAGTAATTTTGAGAACCTATTGGAGTTGGATGTTGAATCTTAGCCTATTATTTATGGGCTAGTTGGTTGTAAATTGAAATATGGGCTATAAAATTGAAAAGTATGGAGCCCAGTTGTTCTAATGTGAAATTTTCCCAATCTTATAAGGGTTTTAAAGTCTGATAATATAGGACCCTAATCCAAATAGGTCATGAACAACTTTTCTTTTTTTCAAAAACATAATTTGAAAACTGTTATGAAATACTTGATTATGGTGGATGTCCATAACTCCTAAGGGAGTAACACCACTACTTTTCTCCATTAACCTCCCACTACTTCTTACAATTATGGATGTAACTCCCACACCTCCATGATCTTCCCCATGTTCTCAATAGTTAATACCATGTTTATGGAGTCCCTTTGTATTACCTATATCATCCTATAAATAGAGGGTTTGGGCATCACATTGTACACACTTGAATACATGGAAGAATAAGAATCTCTTCTCTCTTGCTCCCTACATTCTTGTCTATTTTCTTGTTTTATATTATTACTTTGAGCTAAGTTTCGTAACACGTTATCAGCACGAATTGCTATATTCTTCTTATATTTTCTATAAGAGATGAAAGCCTTCCATGGGAGTTACAACCATAATAAATTTGGTTGAGCTTGTAAAAATCTGGGCATTTCGTTGCCATATTAATGTTGTGTTTGCTTCTGTTATACAGGGAGTATCATTTTTCAGTTGCCATGAGTTCTGCAATTAACTTACGTTAATACTTAAGACTTGGTATAATTGGTGTTACTTAACAATTTAGTTTCATTTGTGCAGATATATACATATGGAGTACCTGCTTAGAGTGACAAACAAGAGCATATTACGATGCCTTGACATCATCTCCCATATGTACTGCTCCGACAGTTTGCAAGCCAAGATTATGGAACTGTTAAATATCTTAAAAAATAATAAGAATTTAAATTGTGGTCAAAATAAATTTTGTATAACTAAGATAGTTTTATTCCCTTTATGTCTGATCATGTGGTTGTTCGTGAAAAAGATAAATATGAACTTTCATTAATGTTCGAGCAAAAATAACTGTTATTATAAAGTAGTATATCATGAAAGGCTCAATGGTGAGTCCACTTAGACTTATTATGCCATTGTATAAGGGTAAGACATCGGGTTTGAGTCCTGGTGTTCTATGATGATAAGAGTTGGATTTGAGTCCCAAGTCATTATGGCCTAACATGTTTTTATATGGGTAAGGCATTGGGTTTGAGTCCCAATGCACCATATTGATGATCTAATGATGACTAATGAAAAATAATGTATTTTTCATGAAAAGCATGAAACTTGTCCCACTTGATTTGCTCCATTCTTGAAGTGAATGTGATAGCGGTGCATCATAAATCTAAATGAAGACAAGTGCAACACTAATGAACGTGGGCGTGCCAAAGACCAAAATAATAACAGTCATCATTATGGTAATTGTAAAAATGAGAACAATAAGGGTTCTCAAAATATTCCTTCAAAATGTGAAGGTGATGCTTGCCATCAATGTGGTATGAAAATAATAAGCATGCTCATATGATTATAGTCCACTTGAAGAGAATGTGACTTGTGATATGCGTTGTAAATGCAGGCTCATTATTGAAAGTAAATGCTGAAATATATATGTGATAAAAATTATGCATAAGAATGTGCTTATGCATGGTTGGATAAATACCACAACTCACCTCTAAGGGAGGTTTGAGAGAAATAAAGATAATGAATATTACAATATGGTTACATGAATATGTCATTGGTCGCGTACACGTGGTACGCCAAAAATATTTTACCATGCCTTATAAAAAGTTATTAAAGGCAAAAGTAAAGCAAGAAATGAGTCTTGTCTATAATATTTTTGATTGTGACAATGATAAGATAATTTTTTCCGTGGAGGAAAAATTCACCACTTGGATGGTGGTATAAAAGATCTTGTAGTACAAAATTATCGAGAGCTCCGAAAGAGCGAATTTGTTACTACCGGAATAAATAAAATTATTCATGGCATTGGTGGTAGTAAGTCCTGTTTAACCAAAAATTAGATTTTAGGTCAAAGTTTGAATTTAGAAGAACTTGGGTTACTGATAATCGGAAAAGTATATAAGAAAGAGATTTTAAATAATATAATCAGAAAGCAAATAAAACAAAGTATATTCCAGTAGTGTTTTTTCGTGTCCCCTTACAGTTGTTTGTGACTTTCCCTTTTATAGCTGTTTTGGGAATACAGACTTTCCCTTTGTCATAATAAGACAATTATGGGTAATTTAATGACCTTAAATGTTACGTTATGCAATCATATACATTAAATACATATTCTCTAACGTTTCTAGTATTTAATACTCATTAAATGCTGTATCTGGGCTCTTTTTTGCTGTCAGATTCATTCATTTGTCTCTTCTCGATCTTTGACCTTTGAATTTCTTGAATAGGTACGAACGTTGAATAATTTGTATGACTGCTCGTGCCTTCTTCATTTAACTTGCTCATATCTATTGTTGCTCGTGTCTGTTAACTAACCTTAATTCTTTGACTGCTTGATCAGTCTACGTGCCATGACACGTCACCATATATATAAATACAATTTTTCCCAATACAGATAGTCCCCCCACTTTCCATTTATTCGTCAGTTTGAATATTTGGGAAGTGGAATTCATTAAAGGAGAATTTTTGTCACCATTAATGTTCTGACAGAGTTGATGCTTTAATTATCACTTCCATTTAATGCTTTAGACAGGTGTCATCTTCTTATTGGTTCCACAGTTTACAACACTTTTTCAGGTTGTCTTTTCGGCTCCACTGTTCATGAAGTATCAGTTACCATTATTGTGATCCTTCCATTACTGCATTTTTACTTTTGACGGTCGCCCATCAATCTAAATTCAATTTTTCCTTTCACCTTTTACCACATAAAACTTTTTCCTTGAACACTTGAATTGTGCGAATCTCTGTTTACTTCTTTTTCTTCTTCATCATGTCTTCTTCGAACCCTAACCCTAAGAGAGTTCCTATTTTAGACAATTTTCCCAATGCTCCTGTTAGACATAGAAGAGGTGGGAGACTTCGTAGCTTAGGATCCTCTCGTGGTGGTGGTTCTGTCATGCCTTCTCCTAGCCCTGGTTCTTCCTCTAGAATTAGAGGTTCTTTTACTCAAAAATCATCTTCTAAGAATAAGGAGGCCTCTGAACCATTACAGGAACCCTTGGTAGAAGAAATAGTCCCTAACGATTTATCTTTTCAGCATGATAGACAATCACTTCAGACCCAAATTTCTGGTTTGTATCGTGTTGATGCTTACCCCACTATGATTACAGAGATTTTAGCTCCCATAGTTCGCAAAGATTGTCACTGGAGTAACGATTTTCCCATTGTAATCCCCAATCCAAATCAGAGGATTACTTCATATATGACTGGATTCTCTTTCGTTTACACATACCCTTTTACTCTTGGGTTTAAACCAGCTATCGACCCAGTAATTCTCGATTTCTGTCGTTTCTTCAAAGTTTGTTTAGCACAGGTTGGCCCGCTTGTATGGAGGGATGTTGCTTGTTTAAGGCATCTGGCCAATTTGGCAAACGTTGATTTCACCTTCTCCCACCTAATTCATCTATACTCCCTTAGACTTTTTCGTAATGGCGTCTTTACCTTAATGGCTAGGAGTAAGAGGGTTTTGGTAAGCCCAGAAGATGATAAGGATCGTGGCTGGATGCCCGATTTGTTGCTGCTCCCACAGTTGGTTTAGTGGGTGAACAAAACGTTCCCTTCCCTGAGAAGTGGAACTTTGCCCGTAAGTCTCTCATCTCTCCCGTACCTCTTTCTTTCGAATTTACANGCCCTGGTTCTTCCTCTAGAACTGGAGGTTCTTTTACTCAAAAATCATCTTCTAAGAATAAGGAGGCCTTTGAACCATTACAGGAACCCTTGGTAGAAGAAATAGTCCCTAACGATTTATCTTTTCAGCATGATAGACAATCACTTCAGACCCAAATTTCTGGTTTGTATCGTGTTGATGCTTACCCCACTATGATTACAGAGATT